AATCCCTGTATTGATGGCCTGTTCAGCGCATATAACCCCTAAGTTGCTGTGTGTTTGAAAAAAAATGTTTCTTAGTAGTTTTTCACCTCTTAAATTTGAGGATTATTTTACTTTGGTTTATTCCTTTTTAACCTTTGACCTCAGTAACCTAAATGAAAACCATGTTTTCTTCTAAGTAAACTTTACCTTTGACTTCCGTTTGATTTTATCCTATCTCTATAATAATTTATCGATTGCATTTTATACATTACGTTTTTATTTTATGGCCATACATAACTAGCGTTGATTGATTATCCTTAGGATATTGACAAGGGACGATGTTTGCTCTTGTAAATATTTTGGCCCTATAGTTGCGTCAACTATTCAAACAAATATTTTCACAGAGTTCAGTTCATTATTACCTTTGCAGGATCTCCAGCAGCACATTACGGCTCGACCAAAAAACGCTGCTTCCAAACAATTAACACTTGGAATCTCGCCTAATATAGGCCGAAATCATGTCGGAGACCATCCGTCTAATGTGGATAGTATGGCATCTGAAAGTTGCTTTCAACAGCATAAACCTGGGGTATCCTCTAGATTGGTCCAGTCCGACACACTAGAGCATACTGAGTGGGCTAGATCAAGTCCTTCTTTTTATGGTGCAGTAGACTTAGATGACGAGGTGAGCGAACTTACGACGGGAATTGACAGCTGGATGTGGCCTGAAACGCCAGATGGATTAGGACTTGAGTTAAACTGCGTAAAGACTAGTGCCCCTTGCAGCCATTCATTTTCATTGCATCGCAAGGACCTCCAAGTGGTAGACGTGGACACAAACGAAGCCTTTGATTTGGAAGTGATAGAGCCTAAATGTGACTCAGGTTGGTATCTGATTTCTTATACTAATTTATCTCACTTGATTTGCATTCTCTGCTAGGATATTACGTCGAATTTTATAAAAATAATACTATTAATGGCAAACTATGACTATTTATTATTTCTCCACCTTACTCTATTTTTTATTTCTTCTGTTCAGTATAGGTTG